GTTTTGCCTGCTAAGTCTGCCACAAGCTTTTCTGATTCAGGAGTGAGCTACATGTAAGTGCAGAACCCTTTGTTTTTAGAGAATTATCCTTTGGGTAAAAGGATGAGAAAGAGGAGTGAACTTTCTAGCTTAGGAGACATATGCAGCAAAATCTGTAAAGGCAGATGGTCTCTTCTGTTTCTTCATCCACTGAGTAAGGGCATGGGCCTGAGTAACCAGTGTCCCTACATTTGCCTTAAAAGAAGTGAAATATCAATAAAAAGAGTCTTGAGCTGTGCTAAATGCTGGAACTGCCACCCTAGAATATCAAACTGCTACTTGGTTTAGTGCCTGAATAACTGTTATCTAAAATTAAGAACCCACTATTAATTCATCAGTCAGTGTGACAACTTGTGGGAAAAGCGTCTTTCACTACATGTGAAGTTGTCTGGATACCGGCTCATTATGAAGCAGACATTTTCAGCTCCTTGATATAACTACCCCTATTAATTGGAAAAGCTTCTTAAACTGTGACATACAAATAATATATTGTAATGAATTCTTCAAGCACAACTAGGGCTGCTGCTAAACAGTGGGAATCTGCTTGGCTTTGTTTCTCTGAAAATGGCATAATGGAGATTGGCAGTGTGGGAGCTGAGAGGCTCAGGTAACATGGTGGAGAAGAGCCTGCGGTGTAGGTCTTCACATTGGAGCAGATACACTATTCCTGGCTCTGGTGCAGTGCCAAATCTGGTGCAGTTAGAGTGACTGCTCTCTGCTGCCCATAGACAGCACCTGGGAGCGGAAGCCACAGAAGAGCTGTAGGGTTGATATGGGAGCATGCTGTTTTAGGGTGCTGCCAGAGAGGGCTGGGAGATGACAACAGAGTGAGTCTTTCCTGTTCTACATTCCCCCTCTAAATCCAGTGTTTGTGTATGGTTAGTACTGGGCAAATCATGCCTAGTACATAATTCAGCACAATATGACCTCAAAGAGGCTGGCCATGGTTTAAGGGTAAGTCAAGATTCTGAATTTGGTGAAAAAACTGATGTCTTCAGGGAAGTTACGGCTGCTTCCATCAGACTGAAACTGGTCCACTCTGTTTACTTCTCTGTAGCATGGTATCACTAAGACATTGTCTTAACGTGCAGTAATGTGTTTTGATATAGCATAAAACATGTAAAATGCAATCTCTCTTTTTGTAATGCTCATACAGCCTTTGGCAGTACAACTTCCTGAATTGTAGTAAATAGCTCTTGACAGTTTTGTGTATCTGTAGTGTTTGGTTTGAAAATAAGAATAACAAAGTGGGGAGCACTGAAAACAGATTTTAATATATATAACTAGTACAAGACAAATTAGGCAATTTGCTCTTTATAGTGTTCTCTCTGTAGCTGTTTAATATTAGTGAAGTTCTAAACTGAAACAGGTTGTAAAGTAGCTTGTAGAGTTATGAAAACAGATGAGATTTTATCTAGCTGAAATCTCAGAATGGTCTGTAGCCTGATCTCATACTTTGTACTTGAACATGACAGGTGATCTTAAGATCTTCTCTCCACCAATCTTCAAACTGCATGCTCTTCTGCGTGACATTTACTCCTCCTTTATGCCATAGGCGAAAGTAAAATGTAACCTCTTATGCATGCTGCTTTTGATTACAATATTAAAATAGAATCTTGAAGTCCTTTCTCCAAACTTGTATTTGATGCTTTTTCTTCGTAGCTCCAGGTGTAAGGATTAGCTTTGAACTCCAGATGTAAGGATTAGCCTTGTGCTGCTGCTGCTTCCATTGTTACCAGTGTTTTTCCTCATTTGAAAGCAATGCAATTCATTTGAACACCAAGAGGCTTGCTTTGAAGGAAGTCTCAGCTCGTCTAAACCAAACAGCTGCTAGCTTTTGTGCATGTCAGGTATTCTGGGAGGAGCTACCACATTCTTGTGCCAGCATCATCAAGGAGATGCTTCTGTTAATCTGTTTTCAAAGTGAAGAATAGCTGTGCACAACTGAAATGCTTACAAATACTTTTATTTATTAGGGGCTGTAACATGAAATACACCCGAAAGAAAATGAGTGTGTATTTGATAGTTTGGTTGGAGTTTTTGTTGTCTGTGTAGAATTTAACTGTTGCTTCATATTTCCTGGCTGGTTTTATCAGAAGGAAAAAGCAACGCTTACACAAAATTAAAAGCAGATTGCATTTCACCCGAGAAGAATGTGTCCTTGTCAGAGACTATCACAGATTGAGTTCTGTTAGACTTTTCAGTAAATCACACTGTCATTTGGGGGAGGTGGAACTCGCCTCGTTTGCACTTGCCAAAGCACATTAGGAGTGCATGCCAATAAATTCAGAGTTGCTTTTATAAGCATGCTTTATACATCATGTCTCAGTGTGATGGCTACATTGAAATGGTACATGTGAACCTCTTCTGAAACTGTTTCATGTGTATGATAATTAAGTTGCTACTTGTGTTAAACATTTTCGCAAATGCCTTCTGAATGTTTTTCTTGCCCAATGCATGAATTCTTTATAAATTGGGACTTGTCAGGAGGCTATCTGGGAGCTCAGTGGAAAGGAACAAGCATAGAATAGAACCATAGAATAGTTTGGATTGGAAGTACCTTAAGATCATCCAGTTCCAACCCCCTGCCATGGGCAGGGACACCTCACACTAAACCATATCACCCAAGGCTCTGTCCAACCTGGCCTTGAACACTGCCAGGGATGGAGCATTCATAACCTCCCTGGGCAACCCATTCCAGTGCCTCACCACCCTAACAGGAAAGAGTTTCCTCCTTATATCCAATCTAAACTTCCCCTGTTTAAGTTTGAACCCATTACCCCTTGTCCTATCACCACAGTCCCTAATGAAGAGTCCCTCCCCAGCATCCTTAAATGAAGCATGCAAGATCTCCTTTCAGTGAACCACTGCCCATGTTTAATCAATCCATCTTGTTTTATTCTTTAAACAAGTTATTGAAGTGCTGAGTCTTTACTTTCCTACAGAAGTAATAGCTTTATGTTATTAACTACATGGGTAGCAGCTAACTTCAGGGATTTAATTTTGAGGTTCAAATCAAGATACTGATTCAAATTGAAAATATAAGTATTTCTGAGGAGAACTCCATGGTAAGGGGAGGATATGTTGGATATACCTTTTTTTTCCCCTTTAATAGTTTTAAAAGGCAGTGATATGTTGAGGCTTTTTTGCTTCAAGCTACTTTGGTTCAGAAGACTGCTCTGTATTTTAAAAACTACATTGTCATCCCACCTACTACTCTGCTATCCTGGGTTTGGTGTGGTGAGCTTTTTGGTTGGTTGGTTTTGGGTTGGTTTTGTGGGTTTGTGGTTTTTTTGGTTTGTTAGTGCTGGGTTTTTTTGAGACCTTTCTGGAGCACTTGGCACATCTTCCTTTTAATGTAGCTTAACCCAAATAGATGCAGACAACCTTTTGTGCTTCTTTTTCTGTTGGTTGGGGGTTTTGTTTCTGTGTATGTTTTCCTTAGGATTTATGTAGGTGATTTGTTCTCGTTGTTTCTCTCTCCCTCTCTTTCCCCCCTTCTGCCCCCCAAATCTACATTGTGGCTATATTAGTGTATAACATGAAGTTTGTGTAATAATGCTTAAATTTATAGTGCATGCTTTATATGTGGTGGAAATGGTGGTATGCCCTTGGCTCATGTAACACATGTAGTAGAGAGACTGGGGATTGGTGACTGAGAGACTTACCTGCTTTGTTTTTAAAGAGCCTCTTCTGATGCAGTTTTAAGGCTTGGAGCTGTGGATTTTAATTAGTTTTATTTAAAATACAGTTTTGATCATGTAATCCTTCAGGGCTGTGGAATTTTGAATCAATTCCAGCTGTGGGGGTTCATGCTTGCCAAAAGGGAAGAGGCCTAGCCAGCTAGAGCATGAAAGTCCCCTTTTCCTTTCTAAAAGCCAAGATCTACTTGGGGTGTTATAATGCTTACTGCAGGGTAGGTTTTAATTATAATTCAGACCAATTTGGGGAGAGTGGCATGAGAAGCCCTGTGCTATTAGTCCATGATCAATTTTGACCAAATCTGAATGCTGAAGCAGCAGCTCTGCCCTTTCTGAATACGTTCAGATGCGAGAAGCCCTTGACTACATAAGAATCTCTTAGAAGTCAGCAGACTGCTTGCCAAGTATTTGCCATTGTCTGGCTATCATATAAGAAGTATGTTTTGTGATTCCTAGGGTAAGACCTTCAGATGATGATAACGTTCCTGCTGTGATAGGAAGAAACCCTATTTTTTTGGCACACTTCCCAGATGCATGCTGCAGTGACCAGGAATCCCAATCCTTTGGTTGCATCTGGCAGCACTTGGAATTCCGTTTTCCATGTGAATTCCAGAGATGATTTAAAATCACAAATTTCCTTCACATCTGAACTGTAAAAAAGAGAATGTATAAAGGCATCAACCATGATATGATAGCTGTGACTTATTTTTTTAGTGTAATGCAGACTTTATGGAGGCGGAAATGTAGCATCTCTGTATATACAGTTAAATGCTTCTGTGCAATTGTGTAAAGCAGGACAACCTATGCCAAACACCTCAGACCCACCAAATCAGAGTGGCTGTATCCCAGCTGTCAATTGCTGTAGGTGCCTGAGCTGTGGGAATTGCCTGGGGGACTGTCAGAGCCAGCCCACCAGCATACCAAAGAGGACTGTTCCAGCAAATGCTTTCTGCACAGATGATTGAAAGAAATGGCCAGGAATGTTCTCAGGTTTACTGAATTTGTTAGTATAAACCTGGCCAGTATTGCCCTCATCTCTGAGCCATTTGGAAATACTGTTTTTCTTAATGGAAACTTACCAGTTTCTGAAATAAAACTTGTGCCATTCTGTGGTTGGTGTCTGCTTTTAACTACTGTCTTTCCACTAAAATAATTAGGCCCTAGCTTCATATACATGGAGTGTGTGTGTGGACATGTGGGTTCTGTGTATATGCATAATACCTATTTTTCTTAGTTTAAAAACATTTTTCTTCTTTTCAGTGGGATGCCATAACTGAAATGGATGAACACAATCGTCCCATTCATACTTACCAGGTCTGTAACGTGATGGAACCAAACCAGAACAACTGGCTTCAAACAAACTGGATCTCCCGTGATGCTGCACAGAAAATTTATGTGGAAATGAAATTTACCCTGAGGGACTGTAACAGTATTCCATGGGTACTGGGAACCTGCAAGGAAACTTTCAATCTCTACTACATGGAGTCAGATGAGTCTCATGGAGTAAAATTCAAACCAAACCAATACACTAAAATTGATACTATTGCAGCTGATGAGAGCTTTACCCAGATGGACTTGGGTGACCGCATTCTTAAACTCAACACAGAAGTTCGTGAGGTTGGGCCAATAAACAAGAAAGGATTTTATCTTGCTTTTCAGGACATCGGAGCATGCATTGCTTTGGTCTCAGTCCGTGTTTATTACAAGAAGTGCCCTTTCACGGTCCGAAATTTGGCTATGTTTCCTGATACCATTCCAAGGGTTGATTCTTCCTCTTTGGTGGAAGTACGGGGCTCCTGTGTGAAGAGCGCTGAGGAACGCGATACTCCAAAATTGTATTGCGGAGCAGACGGGGATTGGCTTGTGCCTCTAGGCCGATGCATCTGCAGCATAGGATATGAAGAAGTGGATGGTTCCTGCCATGGTAAGAAAACATTGCTTGTTTTCATGGTTGATTTGTTAAGGTTTTTTGGTTGGTTGTTTTAGTTTTTGGTTTTGTGTTTTTTGGGGATTTTTTATCTTTAAAAAAAGGAAAATAATCTCATAATGTTATATACACAGTGAAGAGCTCATGTAGTGGAAATATGACATCATATTTTCAAGAAATGCCTCTTGTGGAGAAATAAGCAAGGTTATTTGAAAGCAATATACTGTGGATTTCTAAGAAAAGAGTTACTCAAGATGACTTTCATGTTGTCTAACTGTAGGTGCACGTATGTATATATCGGATAGTCACCTTGGCTCCTGTAGCTCCTGGGAGTTAAGTGCATGCTTTGGAGGAAAATTTCTCTCCTGTATTTTAGATATCTGTCATAGGATGAGATGAGCAGTGACTGACAAAAAAATTCTTCTTTTCCCTCTGTATGCCTAAACAGAGAATCTAATCACAGTATCATAGGATTGTTTAGGTTGGAAAAGACCTTTAAAATCATAGTCCAGCCATCAGTGTAGCACTGCCAAGTCCATCACCAGACCATGTGCCTAAGTAACACAACTGCACATCTTTTAAGTACCTCCAGGGACAGAGGTTCAGCTGCTTCCTTGGGCTGCCCATTCCAATGCTTCACAGCCTTTTTGGTGGAAAAAGAAATTCCTAATATCCAATCTGAACCTCCCCTGGGACAATCTGAGGCCATTTTCTCTTTGTCCTATTGCTTGTTCCCTGGGAGAAGAGGTCAACACCCCTCCTCCTTTCAGAGAGCGGTAAGAAAGATAGAAAGCGATAAGGTCTCCCCTAGCGACAAAGGGAAACATGTTCCCTTATCAGGTCCTCACTTTCATAGGTAGGAGAGTGAACACATGCAGGAGCAAAAATGTATGTCTTCTGTGCAGTCCAAGTGCTGTTGTGCCTCTGCCGCTTTTGAACGTGTGATTGCATTTGTCAGACTTTGTGATAACTGGATTTCATGCGCAGATGGAAAAATTCAGATTACTTTTGTGCTGTTTAGAACATGAATACGGTGCTAAAACTGTGGATGTTGTGTATACTTGAGTAAAGCCCAGGACTCTGAGCTTTCATAGGTTCAATTTAAGAGTACTATCCGTGGACAATGTGCACACTGAGACTTATTTTCCACCTGCCGGGACTGCTGTATAGGTGACAACCATAAAAAGCAGGTATCTTTTCACACTGCACAGTTTCTTAGGAGTTAGTTGCTTTGTTAGCTAAATTGCTGCTAAAGGATAAGTGCACTTTGTATGTTCTCTTTTACTGTACATAGTAGTTTCACAGTGACTTGAGAATAAGGTACTTTCTCTGTAGCAGTGGTTGTAGAGAAAGCCTCAGTAACCACTGAGGTTAAACATTCACTTTGTAGCAAGAAGGAAGGGAAAGGGTCCATATTCGTACATCTCACAAGTGTCATTGTTGTTGTCCAAATATTTTGCTCTACAGCTCCTAAGATTTGATGGTACTAGGCAAGCTGCACGGCAGCCTTAGGTAATATAGAGCATTGAAAGCACACTATGTGTTGTAATCAAAAAATGGAATTCCTTTTATATGATCTTGCTGGCATTGATTATCAAAATGTACTCATTGCAAAGATAGAATTTTGATGTTTTCATTACTGGAAGCAAGTATAATTTTCTACATAAGGTCAAAAGAGGTCTCTCTTAATGGATAAGGATTTTCTTCGAGACATTAACACTCAATGAATTTCAGTCCATTACATGAGTCATACTGTAGAGCTCTACATCAGCAATATAACCAGCAAAGTCCACGAGAAAACCTGTCAGGAACTTCTCTGCTATGCATTGATTCCACTTGTTTCTTCAATTGGCAGTCCAGTTTGCTGCTGAACAGGTACCTCCCAAGTGAAATGGAATACCCAAAGCCATTAGTGTTTCCATATTCTTATCTATTTGACCCCAAATAAATTGATGGTTTAAAAAAATCATAACCTACTAGAGCTTCCATATATGTTTTGAAATAATTTTCATAGGCGTCTGAAGTTGTCCATTTATTCATCTTCAGTGTATTGTAACATTAGTACTGCTTTTTATGTCATGTTTTCAAGGTAGATTTGTCTTGCATTCCGTCATGAGCATATCATGCTTAAGGGAGGCCCAAATGTATGGGATACTTCCAGAAGTGAAGAGCAGCAATTTAATTTCACTAGTGCCTGTTCTCCATCTCTTGTGATTAAAGCACGAATTGGGAGGGTTACTGTCAGGGTGGCCTTGCTTCCCTTGGTTCTAAAGCTGCTGGTGGAGATGTATGCTTGGACAGCTGGGAATGCGTTTTACAATGTGACTGTTTTGAGCATTGTGAACTGAAGAGAGATCACTACCTATGTGTATCTTTCAGGGAACAGAAATGCCCTATTTTGAGACGTTGCTTCTTGCCTGAGACACGAATCGGAAATTAGGAGTTTGAAAAGATTTGTCGCTTGTCAATACATCCTGAACTATTTCATACCCATTAAATTGTAAGATACCTGAATATTGCTAACTTTTTACAGTAAAAATTGGAAAATTTAGCTTGGTTTTGAGGGATAGGTTGGGGGAAGAAGAAGCTGCTACATCTTAGCCTGGTAAGAAGCCCTGGGATGCATTTAAACAGACTTCATGTCCTCTAGGTCCCTTACCCAAATCTGAAACCAAAGCTTTTTTGCCCCTTCTATTCCACTGCTGGAGTTACAAATTTGAGTCTTGGACGTATTTGATGCCATATGGTCAGTGCTTCTTGTAGACGTACTCTGTGACATATTCAGAACTGAGAACTGTTTCTTTCTTCTGTGTTAAAATAACCTTCAAAATAATAACTTGTATTTTAAAATCTGTTCTGGCAAGTAAGTGGTTGGTGGGCAATACTTGCTAATGCTTGAGTATTTTTTCTCGTTTGAAAATGGTGTCAAACATGAAGTTGTCCACCAGCACACATCTCAGTTGAGGAAGAATAAGCTCTTCATGGCAAGTGTAGTTTATCTGTCACAGGATTAAAGAAGTAAATTTCTGTTTGATATTTGTGGAGTTACACAGTCTCTATTCAGTAAGTACTAAATGGCGTAAGGAATTATATTCTGCCTTTGTCATTGCTAACAGTTTCACAAAGGAGAAACACTGGGAATCAAAAAGGTTTTGATCCGTTTTACCACTGCTGTTAAAATCATAGTGAAGCAAGTAAAGCAGATTTTGGCAGTTGTAAATAACCTAACTGGCAACGCCTCACTTACTTTGATCTGTGCAGTTTACGCATATCTCTGTGAATCTGTCAGTATTCCCTATCCATTGTATTTGCTTTTAAAAACGTCATTTCTGAGTGAAAGAGTCTGAGAAGAATTCACAACTGGATAAAAATATCTGTACTTACTAAATGTACACCCCAGTGTGTCGGGAACAGTTCATTTACTGTAGGTAACAGTGTAGGTTACTGTTAAGTAACCCACAAGATCTGTAGGTAACTTGTTCAAAGCTTCTGAATATACTCAACCACATCTAACTGCTAGCATACTGCAAAAAATGGGACTTGATCTGAACTCGAGGACTGTTCACGTTAGAGAAAAAAATACACGTTTACAGTAGATTAACATTTAACTGCCTGTCTGTTGTGGGGGGTTATTGCAGGTGCTACTGGTAGCAGTTTTATGTTCATGCATACTGCTTTTAATTCCTAAATTGCAGGTCGTGTGCTGAGCTATTTCATGCTGTAGCTCACTTTTTTTCTACTTGCAAATAGAGAATGCTTTTGTGCTTAAGGATCACAATTAGTGTGAATTAAAATGATACTGTTGCCTAGATGAAGTAGGAGCAAAATTATGTGTGGTGGACCACGTGAAATGGATGTGATATAATTTACTATTGGAAAGATGGATTTTTAGTGAGTTTGACTAGTCTGAAGAGGTATGACTTTGCTGTATTAAAAGACTTTGCCTTTTTCTCAACACTTTTGGGTTGCTTTGATAGCTTTTCTATTTCCTGACAATTACATTTATGCTCTTTCTTATACAGTGGGTGGGTACCAGACTGGCTTCCACAAAACTTGTAAAGATATACATGGTTTTGGGTTTGGGTTGATTGTTTTGTTTGTGTGTGTTTGGTTGTTTTTTAGGAGCATTTCGGTATCTTCAGTGTCTTAAAGCTGAGGATATATATCAAGTTTGTTGCTGATTTTTTTGTTTGTTTGTGGCTTTCTTATTGCTGCAAAGTGTTAGGAATTAAATAAGCATGTGAGGGCAGCTGTCCTCAGTGTCTGCTCGAGTTAGCAGCCAAAGCATTCTCAGTACCATATAAATTCATGTTGCAGCTCACACCCCCTACCCTGAACCGAGGACGTTAACCTACAGCCATCTGCAGATCTGTTTAGTTGGAGAAATTGTAACGCAAGAAATTTGATAAAGCAGCTGGAAAGGGGCACTGCTTCAGAAGTGAGGATTTATGAGAAGGCAAGCAAAAGACCTTTTATTTGATTTTATGTAGCAAGGGAACCTCACTGATACTAAGCGAGCGCAAGTTGTTGACACACTCCTGTCACATCATACTGACTTACCTTGCGTTCTTCTGAGCAAATAAGGAACCTTGCAATATCCACCATTAGCTGGTTTCCAGTTATTTCACTGTAAAAGTTCAAATTAAAGCCTTGTTTTTTCTAACTGCATTTGAATAAGTTATGCATCTATAGGAAACTTGCTGTTTGTAAGCAGAATTAATCCTCAGAAATTACTGTTTTTCACTTTTGATTCTGAAATGTGTATCAAAGTACAGTATTTGGTATGAAACCTACTTTGATGGTTGAACTTGGTGAGGTTCAATAGGGCCAAGTGCAGGGTCCTGCACCTGGGTCAGGGCACCCGTTGGTATCAATATGGGCTGGGGATGAAGTGATAAGAGTACCCCAGAGGAGAAGGACCTGGGGATATTGGTGGACAAAAGATGGGACATCAGCCCACAATGAATGCTTGCAGCCTAGAAGGCAAATTGTATACT